CCCCCCGGGGGGGGGGGGGGAAGACCTGAACAAATGTCGACTCAAGCCCAGTTAGAGAACTAACAACAAACCAAAGTAACAATAGCACCAGAGTCTAACTTGGTGAACCAATGAGTGTACTGGGGTTACTTACAGGAGCAGGGACAACTCAAAGGCAGCTGTATCTCCTGAAGCCGGCTCCAATATTTTATGGGGAATCATGAAAGCTGGAACCCTGAAGCTCTCTGTACAAGTTGCAGACAGTGACACAGGGTAGAGATTGTCTTTCCTCAGCAGTCCTTACTGCTTGTATAACCTTGGGGAAGGAGAAGCCTTGTGAATCTGGTAAATTTCAGGGACTTTTGAGACTAATGAGTTGTTTACTTCCTGAGTCCTAAGGCACTTCCAAGGATGGAATGTTTCTGTTTGGAGGTGTTGTGGAAAATCTTGTGACTGATTTTGCCTTTTGCCTTATATACTTATCATGCTGGAATGCAGTGCTTCCTGTTTCTTATCAGAGAGAAAACTATGTAAGTCACATGGTTTCCAGGAATCAGAAACTTAGAGAAACTGAAACTTATGCTAATAGGGTGTCTGGCCCACTAGATTATAATAGGATACTAGTCTGCCATGGTAATAAGGGATCCCATATGCTGTGTTATGATTGGACTATTACCCCTATATAAGCCTGTACTTTCCTACAATAAAGCAGATCTGTGTCACTGAACCTGGTCTCCTGTGTCTAAATGCGGTGACGCTGGTGCAGACTCCTTACCAGCCCTGGGGTCTGGACCGGATGACTGATCGGAGGAACTGAGAGAGCAGGAGAGCAACCATAGCCGGAGGAGAACAGCCACAGCCAACAACAACAGCAGGCACCCAAATGTGGGGCTGGGACCCCCTCCCCACAGAGCTGTAACACTCTGAGCTGTAACACCTTGGGCTCCTGATGCCCCCTTTCTCAGTGCTCTTCCCGTGGTTGCTTGGCCGCTTTTGTTTTGTTCTGTTTTTTTCTTCTGGCTCGTGATCTTCGGTTGGGCGTGCCACTCCTGTCTTCGCTGATCGTCTCCTTGAACAGTTCCTGAGTCCCTTTGGGTATGTTTTGCAGGGTGAGTGACCTCCATATGGGGAATAGTCATCCAGCTGCTGCTGGGCCGCTCGCTGCTGCACTGGTTCCTCTCCTCAGGAGTAGGCGTATTAGGGTAACAGAAAAGGATGTAACTATGATTTTTAGATGAAGTACCATCTCTTGCCCCCTGGTTTACAGATTCTTGTTGTTGGGATCCCGAACAATGGGCTTGCATTTTATTCTTGGCCCGGCGTAGAGAAGTCAGGGAGGGACGCCCACAGTCTGGGCTGTTCTACCCCTTGTGACAGCCATTCTGGCCTCCCTTTGGGGGGTTCCCCCCAAAGTCCCTGAACAGGACAATCTCCTGTTAAAGGAGATAGATGAGCAAATACAACAACGGGATGCTGGGGACGGCCTGTCCCAGGCATTTCCAGTTAAAACAAAACTAATGGATTCTTGTTCTGATGAAACTATGACTGCTAATGATGATATAAAAAATGAGGAATTGGGGTTTGAGAGCTCCCCTGATGAAAAACAGAAAGTCAAGATTGCTTCTGCTCCACCATTACAGGGTGGTGGCTACCCTCCGCCATCTTGTATTAGCTTTGATGGAAAACAGGAAGTTAGGACAGCCTCTGCTCCACCATTACAGGGCAATGGCTACTTTCCACCATCTTGCACTAGCTTTAAGGAAGTTCCCCTCCAGTCCACCTACCCCTCCCTTTCAGAGGAAGACTGGAAGCCCCTCCCGCCTAGGCCCCTGTTCCATGATACAATGGGAGATTTTCTACAGTTCTTCCCAGTTACTGTCAATCAGGGACAACAGAACCCTAATGTCTGGAATCCATATTCTATCTACCTCTCCCTCCCAGAGGAGGACTGGAAGCCCCACCTGCCTAGGCCCCTCTTCTATGATACAATGGGAGATTTTCCACAGTTCTTCCCAGTTGCTGTCAATCAGGGAAAACAGAACCCCAATGTCTGGAATCCATATTCTCATGATACCTTAAGGAAGCTGCGTAAGGCAGCAGTTGAGGATGCATTCACTCCCCCTGGTGTGGTCAGTTATTAGATACAATCAGTCATTCAGCCAATACCCCCTATGATTGGCAGAATATCGCCCATGACTGCTTACAGGGAGGGGTGATTTTCTTTTATGGAAAGCTGCTTACCAAGATGAATGTGAACAATAGGCAGAGCGCAATAGAAATGCCAACGTCTAAAACATTGGCATTGATGCTCTAGCAGGACGCGGCAATTTTGAGACCACCAAGCTCAGGCACAGGGACCTCCCCGCTACTTTGAGCAAGTATGTCTTTACGCGCTTCGTGCTTTTCGAAGTATGCCGACTCACAGTGCCTTAATAAGATTATGATAGAGGCCAAAATGAGCCAGGTTCCCCCTTCAAAATGCCCGAGATGCCGCAAAGGCTTTCATTGGGCAAGAGAATGCAGGTCTAAGGTGGATGCAGATGGTAAACCCATACAAAAGGTGTCTTTAAATGGGCAACGAGGTGACTCTCAGCCCTGCCCCAAAGAGAGGAAGTAAGGGAATACACCCCCCACATCCAATACCTATTGCTTTGCCTAGGATGCCTAGGATACAACTTTCCCTAGATGGCCATAAATTTAAAGGTCTAATTGATACAGGGGCCAATATTACTGTAATCAGACAAGAGGAAGCATTGTCTCATTGGCACTGCAAACCTGGACCCCCTATACAAGGAGTTGGGGGTTTACAGAACACCCAACAGGTCCAACGTCCGGTAATCTGGACTGATCTGAGTGGCAACGCAGGAGCTGTTAGACCACTCTTAGCCGCAGGGCTTCCCCATAACCTGTCGGGGAGAGATATCCTCTGCAATATAGAGGTTGTTCTAACTACCAATGACAAAGCCTTTTATGACAACCGCATTGTAGATCAACGGTTAGTTAATGCCCCCCACCCTCACCCCCAATTCTAATGGCCACTGCTCCGCTGCCCAAGCTACCCCCATCAAACTAATGTGGGACACTGAAGCTCCCATATGGGTGGAGCAGTGGCCTCTTCCTTCACATAAATTAGCTCATTTGATCTCCTTGGTCCAGGAACAGTTATCCTTAGTATTCATAATTCTCC